GTTAGAATAAAAGTTTGTTAACTTTTAATAGATGTGGTGAGTTAACTTTTAATCTCTAGTTTGAGTTAAAACATGCTTGTGGAGTGAGATAGATCTTTTTATGACTTTTAAATTAGTTTTAAGAAAAAGATAAATTATTTTGCTAATATAAGTTTATTTTTCATTTAAWTTTTCAGGTTTGTTCGATCCCTYTATGGAAAGATTTTGGAAAYTTGATCAAATTTTATGAACAAACTTTGTAAGATGTAATCGTTTAGTATATGTTTAAATTGTTTAAGTTTGAGACATTTTAGAGTATGTTGGTAAATTTGTATTATTGTAAAACAAATATTTGTAACTATTATGACTTTTGCAATGAAATTTGGTTCATGGTTAAGGTGTTAAGAAAATTTCGAATTTATACCGGAAAAAAAGGAAGAAAAAAACAGGGATTCGGATTTATACAGGAAAAAAGGGAAGAGAAAAAAGGGAAAAAAGGGAAAAAAATGTAGCCAAAAGAAGGATATTCGGCGACGAAAAAACAATTTTCGTCGCCGATGAGAGTTTCGGCGACGAAATTACATTTTGTCGCCGAATATTTCATCAGCGACGAAATCGACTTTCGTCGCCGATGATGTTTTCGACGACGAAAATTCAGTTGTCGCCAATTCGTCGCCGAAAATATCTTCGGCGACGACCGAATTTCGTCGCCGAAGACCTTCGACGACGAAAATGTTGCTTTCGACGACGATTTCATTCGTCGCTGAAACTTGAAATTCTTGTAGTGAATATTACCAAACAAATCATGGATGGTTCTCAATTTAGATTTAATACTATGCTTGAATTTGTATGAAAATTGAAGTTGAGCTATAATTTAACTTGAATTTATTGCATTGATCTCGTGAATAAAGTTGTGGAACCCCGGGTCAAATTAGACATCGCATTCTAATCCAAGTGGAGCCTCCTTCACAGGGCACGATTTGTCACAATTATTATGATATCTTTTAATTTCACTTTTGTTACACAGATGGTCCACCACGTGGCTTATAATCTGATTTACCATTTACGGTTGTATTCGTATGGAAGGTAATAAGCACGACCAAATTAACAAATAAACAATTTACTATTTTTAGATAAGTTAATGTTAATATTAATATTGTGGATTTATATTATTGATATTTTTTATATTTTATCAACTAAGCTTTTAGTGATATATAGAAATTTCGGTTTACACTTTATATCAATGATATAATAAAAAAATATTTGATAGAAGTACAAAAGTTTATAGAGAGAGAAAATAGGAAGAATAAATAAAAATAAAAAGTTGCCTCTGTGTATCGGATGTACTGAATCGACATAATGATTCCAATTATAATATATCGTTTTTTTTCTTTTTTTGACATTTTATAATATCGTATTCTTTCTTCAAAATAATAATAATAATAATAAATAAATTACGATATGATATTTTGCGATAAACACTCGATATGACAATATATCCCATCCCATCAATTATTTGTTCCAACTCCAGTCACTGTATTTTTATAAATTATATCAATATAAGTTTTGGTTTTCGTGTCCAATTTTATTACGATAATAAATATTATTAGTAATGTTGTTTCTTCAAAATATTAAAAATAAATGAATATATTATATAATTTAATTGCAGTTTATTTTACATGTAAATCTAATGTATAAATATAATTAATAGCATGAAATTGTTTATTAGACGATTAGTATATTAATTTATTTTTATTATAAATTAAAAAAATAATTTTTTTAAGAGGAAAATTAGAAAAATTGATGGAAGAAAATATGTAGAGAAAAAAATGAAGGACAAAAATGTAAAAAAGTGGACACCCTCAGCACGGAAATCTTGTAAACTCTGTGTTTCAAAAGGACATCCAAAACTATATTCTGTATGGGCTAGGATACTCGGGAATCTTACATTATCCTAAAACAAACGTGTAAATCTATGTCACGAGAATCTTGTATTTCCATGGAACAAACTACCCCTAAATTAAAGGAGATGGTGTTTCGACTTTTGTATAACAAAAAAAAAGTCACACTAATTTTTTATCATTAAATTTAAGTTTAAATTCCATTTTGGCTCATCGATTTTGAGGTTTTTTATTTTAATTCCTAAACTTTCAAATGTCTAGCGTAAGAATGTTTAAAAGATTACTTGATAATTTAAAAATAAATAAATAACCCTATCAAAACCATTTTGGGTGAGTTCAAAAATAGGTTAGATTGATTTTAAATAAATAAAAAATATGGATTGGGTTCGGTTCAAGAGTTTACGACCAACCTGAACTTAATTATTAATTTTAAAATCATATATTTTACTCACTATAAAATGATACATGGATTTTCTTTTTTATGTTTGTTTTCATTTTATTTTATTTTATTCAATAATTTCTTATAGATTATTTATTCTACGCCAACTTTAAATTTAATGTTTTAAGTTTTTCATTGTAATTTTTCATCATATAAATAAACATTGATTTAGAGATATTGATTCAACGTTAGAAAATATGTAAAAAATATACCATCCAAATCTAAATATTTCATGGTTAGACTGAGTTGCTTGAATTCATTATTTAATAAGAATTGCTTAAAGTAAATAAATTTACCAACCGAAGAATTGAGTTTAAAAAGTATCTCATCCCATGAACACCCCTCAATTTATATATGAAATTGAGATTAGAATTTAAAATTTAGATGTTGATAAAAATACGGGAAGCAAAGTAACTGCGACATATTAATTATTAAACATTAAAATACTAATTTGGTCATATATTTAAACTTTCGATTCATTTTACTCCCTATATTTTCAAAATATTCGATTTGGTCAATTCATGTCCTTTTTAAAAATAATCATTTTAATCCATATTTTTTAAATTTTAATATAAACTATATCCATAATAGAAACACTTTAATAAAAAAAGTCAGGATTATATTTGAAGAAATATATGGAACATAATGTCGTGTTGAAACTATGACAGAAAAATAATTAAATTATTTCAGCGGTAATTAGCACGTACTCATCTCTCATCAAAAGGTCATTCGAATAATCTCCCTACTTATTTACAAAAAAAATTAAGGAACTAAAATAGTAAATTTTAAAATACAATAACCAAAACCAACATTACCAAAGTAAAGATATTCAAAATGATATTTTGATTGAAAATAAAAAGTAGTAAATTTTAATTACTTTTATCACCCAAAAGCGGCCGATTTCAGTTTCGGGTTCGGGTTCGGGTTCGGAAAAGTAAAAGGATTTCTGTGGCGTACGTTATATAAATGCATTATTAAAGCGAAAAGCTAAGCTTTGGTACTCGCTCGGTTTCTTTTGTTGCTCCATTTTCCGCCATGGACGCCGGCCGTGTGAGCTTCGGGTTTGTTCTGTGCGTGGCTTTTGCCTTAAGCGGCGTCGTTTTCTCCACCGCCGAGCTTCACCGCCTCCTCCATCCGCCCAAAGACGACGGCTCTCTCGCCCTTCTCGTCGTCGGAGACTGGGGAAGAAGAGGAGCTTACAACCAATCTCAAGTCGCAGTTCAGGTCAAATTCATTCTCTGATCTCTGCAATCATTTTCCTTTTTCTTTTTTCTTTTTAATAATCTCGTATGTCTTTTTAGTATTACGATCATAAAGTCTTTTTTTTAATACAACGGGTAGGATGGGACATCGAATTCACAGTTTGAAATATATATCAATAACTGTTGAACTATGTTCGTTTTGGCATTACAAAGTATGAGCGAAAATTTTAACTCGTAACTGTAATGAAAACGGTACAAATATTTAATTACTGATCTTTTTTTAAAATATTGGTTTAATAATAAATTCTCTTCCTCTCAGAATAATAATAACAACAACAGGTTTTTTTTTTGTATATTTTAATGGAAAGAAAAAAAAATTTACTTGAATGTTTCATCTTTTCAAATTTGTGTTTCTAATAACTTGCAACAAGAATTTTAATTTCATAATATATACTTTCTTTGTTTCTTTTAGAAACTGTTTAGAGTTCATTCGATATATTCTTAAAATTCAAAATGAGAAAGTAAAGTTTCTTTTTTTTCCCTGAATTTTTCCAAAAGTTATATAAAACTAATCACACACATCTCAAACAAAAAGTATAAGAAACAAAAAAATGAAAAAAGGACAAAATTTAGCATAACAAAGATACTGTACTATATTTATCAGAAAAAAATATTAATTAATAAAAATAACGATGTAAATTAAAAAGTAAGTCATGGCTTTTTCATAAAAGTATTGATATTTTTTGTAAGAATATATAAAAATGGGTAATGCATTATAAATGTAAAATTGAGGAAATTCAAAGTTTTTAAGTTATCAATATCTTAACAAATTTAATTATATTCAATTGGTAAAAAAGATACTTCGACAATATTTATAATATTTTATTGACTAAAATCGTGCAAATTTTTATATATTAAAAAAATTAAATTTTTTAGTACAATAAATAGAGATGGAGAGATTTAAACTCATTTATCTCTAGGTTAAATACATGTGTTAATTATTCTTCAACAAAATTTATATCGGTAAAAAGAATAATAATAATAAAATAATAAAAGAGAATAAACTGAAGGTATAATTCCGATTCCAAGCATTATTCCAAATGGGAAGAAGATATTCCTGGGAATCTAATTTTCAGACAGGTGGGCCAATACGGCAATGCTCAATAAATTCCCATCAATCAAAAATTTAATTTAAAAAAAATTACAAAGAAAACAAAAAAAGAAGAAAAGATAAAATAGTGGAAGAAAAAATGACTCGGACTGATGTGGTAAATTCGAGTTACGAGATCGAGGCTTTAGGACCATGCTTGATATGATGTATAACTACCACAATTTCAAATAACATTACGATGAAATTTAAGATCACAATTTTGATCGTTATGTAATTGGTAACACGATCACATTATAAACATCAGGATTTTGATTCAAGAATCAACGGTCTAATATTAATATTACGGTGAACATATCATATTGCATATTTTTATTATATTGACTTTTTTAATCTTTTTTGTTTTATTTTTGAGGTATGTTATATCAATCATGCTCTCGTTTAAGCTAAGGATGAACAAGGAATGTTGAGTGGCGTGTACCAATTTCTTTTGTCTTTAAGCAAAGAAAAAACAATATTATCTTTACTTTAATAATTTGATCTTTTCTTTTTTCCAAGAAAAATATTTCCAAAAGATAGAATAGAATCAAATATATTTTTTTAAAATGATCTTTTCTAATTTTAGAATTTCAGAAAATATTGAAAAGCAAATAAGGAAGCAAAAGTGTTTTTATGCAATAATAATTTTTTTTTTAAATGTACTCTTGCCATCTCTTACTTATAATTTTTTTTTTACCAATTTTGTAGATGGGGATCATTGGAGAAAAATTGGAGGTCGATTTTGTAATTTCCACTGGCGATAACTTTTACAAGAATGGACTGAAGGGTACCGATGATCCAGCATTTGAAGAGTCATTTTCCAAAATATACACTGCACCAAGCTTGCAAAAGGAGTGGTACACAGGTAAATTAAAACCCTTTTATCCAAATATTATTTTTAAAATTATTATTAATTAAATTAAGACTTTTTTTTTGGCAGTTTTGGGCAACCATGATTATAGAGGAGACGTTGAAGCTCAATTGAGTCCAATTATAAGAAAACTGGACAATAGATGGATTTGCTTGAGATCTTTTATTGTCGATACAGGTAAATGAAAAGCATTTAACTTATTAATTATTATTGTAATTGCGATATTTTTGCCAAGATGATAAAAAAAAAAAGCACCACATTAAAATTTAAGGGTAATTAAATTTTGAAGAAATAATAAGTAATATAATTAATATATATATTGATATTTGTAGAAATTGTGGAGTTCTTCTTTGTGGACACAACCCCCTTGGTGAACAAGTATTTTATACACCCTGAGGACGCAGTCTATGATTGGAAGGGTATTTTGCCTAGGCAAAATTACCTTTCTAGCCTTCTCAAGGTTAGTGTTCTTTTTTTAAATTAATTATAAATATCTTCCTAAATGGTCTTTTTCTTATTTTAAAATAAGTTAATTTATTAGTTTTTTATTCTTTTTATTTCTTAAATCTTAGCCAACTTTTTAAGATAAAAAAAAATTAAAATATATGTTTTTGAATGTATAATAATAAAACCGCCACCAAACAAGTAGTTGTATGTCTTCCTCTCTAGCTTTGAAGCTTTCATTATTTTTAGCTTAGAAAACATCATGAATCAATTTATAGGCTCCACGCCAAACTAAACCATCTTGAAAGCTACTTAAAGCGTAGAGTTATTATTCAAAATTTAATAGTTGAAAATTGAAGTTATGTCAGCTTATCAATTCAAGTTAAGTAAATAGTCCAAATTATATTACTCCACTAAATCGTCAAGTTGTCTACTCATTGGATAACATAGCTGTAAAAATTCACTTCATCCAATATTTTCTCAAAATTTTCACATACTTGGTAGTTTTTTTCTTTTTTAATTTAATCTAAAACTTTATTATTATTATTATTATTATTATTAATAAAGTTTTTTGAATGAAAAATGAAATAGGATGTGGATTCAGCACTAAAGGATTCAAATGCAAAATGGAAGATTGTTGTGGGACATCACACAATCAAAAGTGCTGGACAACATGGTGATACTCAAGAGCTACTCCACCAACTTCTTCCCATTCTTGAGGTCTCTACCAAAATCTTTTCTCTTATAAATTGGATTAACTTGGCGAGATTCATTTTAGTTTGTGTAGCTTCGGTTCCATGCTTGTTTCACTTTAATTTTTTTACTCCATTGAAATTATGTTTAAAAACATGGCAGGAAAATAAAGTGGATTTCTATATTAATGGGCATGACCACTGCTTGCAACACATAAGCAGCATTAACAGGTATGTGCCCTTTCTTTATAAGTCACAGTGACCTGTAAATTAAGGGAAAAAAAAACATGTTTCATTTTGATTTATAATATCTATAGAGTCTAATAATTTCAAAATTAAACCTACCTACCTCAATAGTTTACAATTAATAATTGCAGACCAGAAAACAAAAATATTGACATCGTAAACTCGTGACCACCCGTCACATCGTATTTCACTCTCTTTTTACTTGAATGAAAGTAATTTTGGGGGGATTTTTTATTTTATTTTATTTGGGGTTTGTGGATGCAGCCCACTGCAATTTTTCACAAGTGGGGGAGGATCAAAGGCATGGAGAGATGACATAAATTGGATGGATCCAAAGGAGCTGAAGTTCTACTATGACGGGCAAGGGTTTATGTCACTGGAAATCACTGAATCACAAGCAAAATTTGTCTTCTTTGACGTCTTTGGCAATGTCTTGCACCAGTGGACCTCTTCCAACCAACTTCTTCACTCTTCCATTTGAACACAACATATTCTTAATTCTCTCCCCCAATTATTAGTATATATATGTGTTACCCTATCCATGTATTTATGACCTTTTTATAATGGGTATATGCAATTTAAATTTTATGTTTATTCTTTTTAGATTCAATAAGTCTTTGTTTTTCAGAATTGTTCATCCAAACTATATGTGAAATTTCTGAAAAACAACATGTTTTTTTTAGTATTTTATAGATTTTAAATTTTAAATTTGAAAATATAGAATTACAAAGAAAAATTAAATAAAACTTTGACGAAGTTACCGTTTTATGTTATAAACTCATTTAATTTTTTATTAAAATTAAATTAAGTATTATATAACATATTGTGTTAATAAGTTAGTAATAATATTTGAGATTCAACTAGTTTACGAGGTAATTTCACTATTTTTTTGGTATACTTTAGTGTCACTTTTTTACGAGAACTAATTTTTAAATGTACTACCAAACACATTCAACAACACTGAAAACTAAAATTTGGAATGCCAAGTCTATTTTTCGTTGAATCCATGGTTTTCAAATTCGACATTCATGTGGARGATGAGTGTATAGAACTTCTCATTGTAATCTCTTGTTTGGTTTAGCATAGGAAATGAGGAAGCTCTCTATTAAACAATAGTTTTTTGAGTAATCTTTCTAAATACTATAACATAAATATTATAAAATTGAATTTCTTGGATCTCTTAAGAAAATCACATATTTTTTAGATACTTGACACATTCTTTTTTGGGCTGTGGATATAAAGATGTGGCCCAGCATAACATCAAATATTCAAGTCCACATCTCTCTTCTTTGGACTTGAATTTGGGCTTGGGCTTGGGCCTGCATATGTTTTGATTTAACCATAATATTTACATTTTTCTCCACCTATCTTATACATTCCCAAAATTAGCCTTCTTAAACTACCCCAACTTATTGTTATTTTTTTCCAGTGTTCCAACTTTGTCCCTGCACTCAATTTTCAAACTCCCTGCATTTCAAAGTATGGATTTATTCAAACGAAATTGAGTTTTATAAAAAGGGCGAGGGTAGGAATGACCAAAATAAATTAAGACGTTTTAAAAAATGGTCAAACATTTATAAATGACTAAATGACATATTTTTTAGAATCTTAAATATTATTTTAGACAAATATACCCCTATAACTACCCTATAACTATATATGGGATTTTATTTGGTACAACTTGCAAAAACAAATAATCAAATTTAAACAACTAAATCTAATTAATTTAAAAATTGAAAGTATACCTTGAGAGTGGATAAATAAAAAATTATTCAAAATTGGACTAAGGTTTAAAATTTATAAATTTCTAAGTTAAAATCTAAAATCTAAAATTTAAAAATTCTAGGTGGGAGGGGTAAATGTATTTAATGAGTCCATACAACTTTGAAATCAAATCAAATCAAACATACCTTGTCACGTCAAGTCGTTTTGTCAAACAGTAATAACATATGCACATTCTATATATCAATAGATACACGTATAATTACTTGGAAGTTGATGGTGAGTTGTGGTCTACACTGAGTCATACTTCCATTTATTGGGTAAATGTCAATATCTATATAGTCCTCACCGATATCGCACTTCCATTTCTGGGGTCATGTCGGTATCTACAGTGGTTTGCATTTTGGAGGTCAATATCAATATCTACAGTGGTCTATTACAGATACTAAAATAGATTTTCGTGCTTTCACATCATTGATCTCAAACAGCTTAAAAGTTATGGTCCGAGTGATTTGTTGTAGTCTCAACTACCATCATATAAAAATGTCATTAGTACAGAATTCACTATTGCAGAGTGGAGAGCTTGAAATGATGAGACTTAATCAGTCGTTATAGCAAAAGAGCTTGGAAGAATGAAACATCGTCCATCTTGAGTAATATTGTCAATCAAATCGTTGTAGAAGGAAAACTTGGAAGAATGAGAGATCACTTTGAGACTAAAATTTAAATGATGGTCATATAAAATGAAATCAATCAAATCCCTTAAATATGGGAAGAGGAGATGTTGTTCAAATCTAACATATGTTAGGTGGTTTTAGATGAGAAAGGATAAAAATAGATTTAAGGGTAAAATTAGAAAGCCATCAAAATTTTAAATCGTCTAAAAAAGTAGTTTTGCTATTTATGGAAAATGTGGTACTATTAGCCATTAGCCATTTTTTTTTATAAGAGATGTTAAATTTTAGCTAGTCACCTAAATTACCCTTTATAAAATGCTATTAATTGGCTTTTAGAAAATTATTAACTAATTAGTGTTGCATCGTGTTCATAAGATTAAGCTCTAAAATTCATGGATATGATAACACTAAAACCCCTAAGCTATAAAAAAAAAATCTACTCCGCCAAATCTTTTAATTAAAAAAAAATTAACCTAAGAAATATTTTTAACAAACCAAATCCAAATTATGTTACTATGTACTATAATTACGTGCTTTCACTAAATTAAGATAACAAGAAAAATTGATTAGAAGAAAAGGATTTTTATTTTCTCTTTGGAAATGCATTGACTTATGAAAAAAATGGTTCAATTCATAGTTACCTTCTTTTTTTTTATACAATAAATTGGGAGTATGAGATGGAACCTCTATCCTCAAAAGAAAGAGCTGTCAATTACTGTTAGTTAGGCTTATGTTGGCGTCTCCTTCTCTCTTAACTTAATCAAATTCTTTTAAAAAAAATTAAGAATTATCCAAAATTGGACCACTAACACTAAACAATTTAACATAACATGTTAAAGTTAGACAAAAATAAGAGTTTTCAAATTGGGTAAAGAAAAAAAAAAGAGGAATTATAGAGATGATTGAAGTTAGGTGAGTTTGGTGAAGATTCCTGAAAATGGTTTTTTAGTAAACTAATGTCTTGTCAACCTAATCCCACACAAATAGGAATCCCCTGTCCTTCACCCAATTTCCAATTCTACCCCTACCCCCCACTTTTTCACAATATATTTTATCTTGTTCTCTATTATAGGGGTGCATGAATTTTGATATTAAAAAAATTGTTTTTTTGTTGATTTAAACTATTATTTTTCTAATTTTGTTTAATTATACAGGCATCCGTGATTTTTAACTTAAGAATATATTTTACTTAAATAATAATTCCAAACTTTTAAAATAATGGGCATGTTTTTCTTATCTATATTGAACTTTTACTCAATTAGAGCTCAAATCTATGTACTTTCACTTTTTTTGACAAAGAAAATAAAAAAGAAAAGAAAGATATTTTGAACTCTTTATTGATTTATTATAAATTATATATAGAATTTCATTTTTGGTGTTATATGCTATTTTTCAATTTTGTTTCTAATCATTCCTTAGATGTGTTCTAAGATTTTTTAATTGATTCTTTTTTTTCAGTTCAATACTCAATACGAACTCATTGGGAACAATACCCACCACCCATGTCTTAACCACCAGTTTTTTTTTTTTTTTAATGATCATTAACAATGAAGAACTTAATTTAAAAAACTTAAACCACGTAATTAAGAATTGTAAAAATTTAGACCGAATTAAAAAAATAATATATATATTAAGAGCAAAATTATGATATATCAATACAAAGGTCTTAGGAAGTGCAATTTCAAAATTAATGTTTATTTTTCCCTTTTGTTAAGTACGATAACATAGAGTAGAAATTCGAACCTACAAATTTTTTATATATATATTTTAATTAGTTGAGCTATGTTTAGATTGACAATTTTTGTAAAGTAATTGTTGAAGGAGAAATTTTAGCCAATTCTTAAATGTCAGTCACGTCACAAATTTAAAATTATATCTTGGACCAATCACAATTTTTGGAAAGTAATTATTCAAGCTGCGAATATCATCAAGCAAACCGAATAACTTCACAAGCGTAAAGTCGAAGACTTCAAGGATTCTTCAATACTCTAAGCCGAAGATTCCAAAAATCTTTAGAAGACACAAACTCATTGATTCGAGAATATGCTCACAAGCCCTCAATTTAAAGTTCATTTTTGAGGTAATTAATTAGATGATTATACATTATAAATTGAACACTAAATACATAAATACAAATTCAAGTTCATTAATTTGAGTTATCTCCTAACAGTGATATTATATATATATAATAACATAACTATGAAATTAAAAGCTAATTCTGAGTATAACTAAAGCGGATGAAACGATTATTAAGTTCAACAAAACCAGAAAACTAATACAAATATTTTCCCACAATCCCCTTTTTGAGTATATATTTCTTCCAAATTCAACATTCATTCTGAAACTTGAGCCTTAAAACATACTGCAGAATCCATCTGCTCCCACTTTGGATTCCAATGGAAACTGAATTTTAAAAAACACAAAAACCAGAAGAAGCTTTCTGCAACATGACAACTCCCTCACCATCTTCGACCCTACAAACAAAACTCTCTATAATATTTTCATTTGGACATTTTCTCCTTAAAGTTCTCACAACTTGGCTCTCTCCTCTGCCACCATGGAATTCCCCTCCACACAAACAACCTTCAACTTAGCAACAATGGCAACCAACAAAGCAAACAAATACTAAATGCTGAATCTTTTTTGCTTTTTTTGTTTATTCAAATCTTTGAGGGTGTAATAAAATAGTACACAAATCTGGAAGCAAATTCAATGGTGTGAAACCAAACAACAATGCCAATCAATATAGCAGTGAATATGTAGTAATAATCAGAAAACCAAGAATCTAATAAAAACGTGTGATGTGATGTGAACAAAAAAGAACTATACAGATGCTCTTCAATGTGGATATCTCTCCTATGCTATGGCACCTTCTTCTTCTTCTTCCCCTTCCAATCACCCTCAAGAAATCTATCGACTGACCTCGGCTGTCGTCTATACACAAGAAAAGAAAATGGCTCAAGCAGAAGCGGATTCTGCCTGGCTTGGGTGGCTGTGGTGGTGGCTTTTCCCGTGATGGCGCCTTCCTTTACCGAACGTGACAGGGTCGAAGACTCGGAGTCGTTCAGCCTCTTCGGGGTTGATCACACACTCTGGAGGAGGGGCCTTGTAGCGGATGCGGTCGTAGCAATAGGAGTATGTCAAGTGCTTCTTTCTGAGGCTCTCCATTTTGGCTCTTTGAGATGGTGTGATACCAGAAGGGATTGGTTCAGATTTTTGGGAGTGATCGCAGCTGGTCGAGGACTGCTCGGTCGGGTCGACAGCACAGCCGTGGAGGATGAAGTCAGAGAATTCGGCGATATAAGGCGCGTATTTGTAGTTGACTTTGTATTTGCCTCCATTGGTAGCCCAAGTAGATCCATCCCATATTGTGGCATACAAAGTCATTGGTTTAGAAGGGAAGTCACCACCCATATTTGCTGTTCTCTTCACCTCTCTAATGGGAACATTGTCCACATAAAATCTACATTCAAAAGTAAAATCACAACCAATCTGTAAATACTTTTTAGGAACTTGTCTAAAACATGATGAATATGTTTGTAGACATGAACTGCAGCCATGAAATATAACTTCTGATCTTTCCTATTCTAGAAGGAGGCAGAAAATCCAACCCTTCCTAATCACAGTGATTTTCAGAAATATTTACAACTTGTCAAGACAAAAACAAAAAAGAAAAGAAAAGAATTTTTTGAATGAAATGAAAAAAAATTTGTATTGGCTTCCCAAGAAAATTGTTTAGCAGCAGTCAACAGCACACCCTCCTGGGTCCAATCCAATCACATGTTTCTCTTGTAATCTTCAAAATTCAACTGGCATTTTTTTTCCTCTCTTTTTTTTTCTTTTTTTTTTTGGTTCTTTTCATCTTCTTTCACAGGAAACCCAAACAGCCCCTTTATCCTGTTGGAATGGGAAAAGTGGTTTCACAAAACAAGGGACTCAGTTTTAAAGGAAAAGTCCAGAATCCACCCCTTTTCCCAAAAAGGGAAGATTTAAGAAGCTCTAAATGCTGTGCCATTACAGAGGCATCACTTCAAATCCCCTAAAGAGAGTAAAATATATATATACACATAACAAACAAGAAACAGCTTCTGATTCTGAATAACAAAGGATTGGAATGAATATATTATGGTTCTGAAGAAGAAGGGCTTACATGATAAGAGATTCAGTCCAGAGGATGCTGTATTGATGGAAATCTTCAGATGGGTCAAACCAGAGTCCATATCTTTCTTCCCTGCCTATGCTTGTGCTTCCATTCCCATAAATATTGGTCTGAATCCTCCAATCTTTGCCTCTGATATTCCCCAAGAACTCAAAATCTATCTCATCATGGTTCTTGGCAAACATGTCCCCATTTGACATCTGCAACCACAAAACTCGATCAAATTTTCCCCCTCTTTTCTTTTCTCATCCAAGCTGATTGAACAATCATGAATCAAACAAGAAGAGAAGGAAGTCGAGTGGNAAAAAACCACAACCATAACCATAACAAGAACGTGAAAAATACTTGGACCACTGATAATATTAAGCTCTAAAACAGCCCAAAGAAGCCTGAAGAAATACACAGTTTCATTTTTGTTGGAAGAAACTCACATAAAAGGCAACCACAACTCCAGCAGTGTAATCAGAAGGCAGCTTAATGGAAGCACTGAAAAACCCATGAAGGTAAAGGTCCTGAGACACAAACCCAGAGCCTGAAAGTAAAACAGAGAAGAACAAAAATCAGAAGAATTAGAAACAGAAACAGAATATTCAAATCCATCGAAACCCCATTAAATAAGAAGAGCTTTGTTCCCCCACCAGTCCTCTCATCGAGATGAAGATGAACAGATTTCCCATCCTTGAGAAGCACAAGATTGTCATCGCCAAAAAGGGGGCTATAGCCTTCTTCAAAGTCAAGTATTGGGAAATTCCTTCGAGACCCAGAAGCAAAAATGGCGAACAGACAGAGAAAACAAGCAAATAGAAGGTGAATGCGAGAGAATCCCATGGTCCTAATCGTTTCCCCTTTCTTCTCTCTTTTGGGGTATTTCAAATTCAGGGGATGAGAGAGAAGGCTGTGGAATATATCTCTGATTCTCTACAGCTATGAGCGAAAGAGAGAGAGGGAGAGCCAAAAGTGGTTAATGTGAAGAGAGACAAGGGAAAAGAAAGGCCACAGCAGAGCAGAGAGCAGAAGCTGTTGAGCCGTTCTTATGTAGACAAATTTCAGAGGGAATTTTCTTAATTTTAATTCCTTCTCTTTAATTTAATTCCATAATTTCCATCTTATATATTGTTATTATTTTCTTTCTCCCCCATTTTTTTTTAATATTTCTGTTCAACAAATTTCAACAGTTATTAGTCTGACTGAATGTTTTTGTCCCATGCAAGATTCTTTTTATTTAATAAATGAATAATTCTGATTATAATTCCTTCCCCCCAAAAGTAATAATTAAATTAGTAGAAAAATTACGATATATATTCTTTTAATCTTTACATTACTCAAGGTATTAATACACGAATTTGGTCATTTGTGTAACACATGCATTTTTCCTTCTAAAGACAGCTGTTGTTTTAAAAAAATAAAGAATAATTTATAATCATATTTATAAATGGTTTAGATTATCTAACTCGTTAGTTGAGAAAAAGAATATAGAATAGATACTCAAATAAAATAAATTTGAATTGATAGGTTATGAGATTGATGTTGAATTTCATAGGTCTGTTTCCTAATCTTCATTTTATTGTTTCTTGTCTTTAGTTTTTTTAGGTATAAAATTTTGGTAACTGTTTTATTTCTCATTTCTCTCTTTTTTTATATAAAAAAAGCATTTTCGAAATTACGTAGATTTTGAAGGAGTAAGGGGTCGAGTTAAGGTTATGTTGGCAATTACATGGTCTATCTTAATCTAAATTTTAATTTTATTTTTAGATATTTTTTTATTTTTTTAAGGTCCAAACACAAGTCATATCTTTCCACCGCATTAAAAAATAATAATAATAATAATAACTCCAACAAATAGAAGAATGCCATTTTTACAACTAATTTTGGGCACTTTATCCCAATTTCAATGCTTTGGAAAAAAAATGCAAGAATTTCAAAGTTTTTTTTTTTTTAAGAAAAAGACAAGACTCTCAAAGCTTGAAAGTTGGATAAAGTGGCAAATATTGTAATAATTGCAATTTTAAATTAAAAGATCAAATTAAATTAAAGAGAAGCACTACAATACAAAGCATGTATCATTAGGTATAATATACAATTAATTTTCAAACAACGCCTTTCTGGTTATTGAAAAGTGGTTCTGCTTTTTTTTATATAAATAAATAAATAAATACATAATAATAATAATTTTTTCCCAGAAAAAAAAAAACAAAAAAGGAATCAACTAGTTGCGTCCATCATCAGGCAACCGCCCCACAGCCACTCTCCAAAGTCCAAATCCCAATTCAGTTTCTTTTCTCCTTTTTCTATTTTATTTTATTTGTTAAAAATATCAATTTTCTATTTCCAACAAAAAGTAGATCAATAATATCATCAAATAAATAATAAATTTTATTCTTGTTTTTAGCAATACAAAAAAATTGAAAAATTCGAGTATTTTCAGAGTTAGAATTTTGAGTAAATTTAAAATATTTTATTGGTTGAATTTTATTTAATATTTTTTAGAACAGATGCGGTATAGAAAACTGAATAATCCACTTATCTCTTTTAATTATATTTCAATGGACTTTATTGAGCTCATTAATTAGTTTGTGGAGAATGTGATGGGAGTGAAATTAAAAGATAATTTAAAATAGTGGAATTTAAATGGATGAAATTGAATGTGGCAGTGGCAGTTTGGTAAATATGGGTGGGAGAAGGGGGCAAAAGTGGGATTTTAGTGATTGGTGGAAAAGCTTTAACGAGCATCGCGTGGGACCATCTAAAATTCGGCGCCTTTCATTTACCCTTTCAAACTGTACATGCGCTCCTACGTGGACGGAGCCTACCAATTAATGATTTTCTTTCCCTTTTTTACATCTAAATTTCAAAAAAAAAAATTCAATCCTAAATGTTAAAAATATCTTTTTCGAACATTAGTGTTATCATCCGACTTAAAGAACTATTTACCCAAAACCCACTTCAACTATTTTTTCTTAATTTTCGATGAACCTTTAATTTTGAGGAGGTAAGTAATATTTCGAAAATTAAAATTATACTCTGAACTGTTTTGACCGACTCATACGATTTATAAATATATTTACATTAGTATTTTAATATGCATATCTGAAGTCACAGTACTCTGTATATATGTTATACTTGATAAATGTTAGAGAAAATAGGTAGAGGAATTAAAGAAACACAAAGTTAAACAATTCGAATCCAAAGTAGTATTGTTTCCTTAACAATTTTATTCCCTCTATGGCATTCAAGATTTCATGAACAATTATCTCCTATGATAGGATGAATTTACCAACCTCTTAATGCAGCAGTTCACGCACAGGACTCAACGAACCTTAGTATTTAAGTAATCGTATAGAGTAAAAATGAAGGAAAAATTGAGGGAATAATTTTCATTTTGCAAAACTGGAAAGAAACCACAATTTATATTATCTGTGGCAAGTCACATCTTTTCATATAAGATTATGTCTTTTGATAAATAACATATCCTTTCATATAAGGTTGTATCATTTACAAAGACACATCGTATTACGAAAAGTTGTGTTTCTTTATTTTTATCAAAATTTAATTTTATTAAAAAATTCCAACAACAAATACGCGAAAGGTTTATCAGGTGTCTTGAAGGGCTTGAAATAATAAGAGGATCTCATGTTATGGTTAAATTTTGTTAGAGTGTCTTAAGTAAGGGTTGAAAAGGATTTATTTTTATCATTTTTAAGAATTTTCTATGGGTTTGCATATTTGGTTTGGAGGGACTAATGTAAATTCTAAAGAATTTAAGGAGAATGGATTCAAACTGTAATGTTCACTTATATAGGATTTAATGTCCTATGAGTTTTCTTGGTAACCAAATGTTGTGGGAGCAGACAATTGTCTCGTGAAATTAGTGTGTCATTTGCTAGCCTGGACATCTTAACCATTAAGCTATTTTTATCAGGTTGATTAGTTTTTTTAATTGTATATATCAAAAAAATTGTATGTCACCTAACTCATGATCTTTTTTCCTTTTTTAAATATGGTTCATGATTTTCATTAAATTAGTGAAGTTTTGGAGTTTATATATATAGTTAAAATTAATGGGGGAATTAGTAGAATTTGAATAGTGTGTAAAAATTGCAACAATTATGTAAATCTAAGATTTAATTCGAAGAAATTAAAAGTTTAGAGTCAACATTGATAGAATAGGTAAAAGATATATTTTTTCCCATAAAATTTAATGATTATGATTAAATATATTTATATGCATGGTTTAGTGATGAAAATAAAATACTTTAAACATATAAAACTAGAACACTAAAAATTATTTTTTATTTTCTTCTCTATTTCAGTTTCAAACATATTGATGGAGAAATGTATCACCCAATCTCTAATAATTAGTTTAAATATGTCAAATCGAACCTAGCTTAAATGATCAAGACACATATCTCCAATTAGGAAGTATGAATTCGAACTCTCACCTCTACGTGTTGTATAAAAAAAAATAATTAGTTTAAATATAGCAAAACTTACTTCTATAACCCCAAAAAGAATATAAAAATTGCAATTAGTAGAAAATATATTAAAAATAAAATAATTACGATTATAGTAATAAAGTGGAACAGAATTAGAAGATTGGGCAGCTTGTGTCAGAAAATATAACAAAATAATAATAATAATATTGCGAAGATGACATCTCTCTCATTGTCCCGGAAATACCATCCCTTTCAGAATTTAGTAAAATCTTTTAATTTATAATTATTTTAAATTTGACTTGAAAAAAAAATACAAATTGCAGAAAATTTGTCACTTCTAAAGATGACATAATGGAAGGGAGGATGGGAATTGAGACTCGAAGTGTCAATTTTTTCGGTGGGGTTCGAGAAATCTCTATTTTAAATGAATAAAGGATCGAAAAATACGATATTTAAAATTTTGTCCAGATGTAATTATTTGCATGTTTTATAGGTTCAATATTGATTTAAGAAATGAATTGCAAAAAATATCAATAAAATATTATTAGTACATACATAAAATCTTTTTAACTTATTTTAAGATGATGAAATACTTTTTTTTAATTTAAATCATTTTTATTATTTTTTAGAAATCTTGTAAAGATCATATTTCTATATCTTTTTATAAAATTGAGATCTCAATATTATCATTAATATTGACATTTTAAATCTTGTAGGTAATGCATTTCTTGATTTTGGAAGAACCCACGTCCTCATCTTTTGTTGGAGGGAGAAAATTTGCTACGTGGAGGACAGAAAAAGCACCAGGTGGACCAATTCACATGAAAAGCCCTCGACTCGTCCCAACAGCACGACCTTCAACTAGGTTTGAGCTCAAGCACTCACTCGTCTGACCTTCAGACCAACACACGTAACTGCCTATCTGATGGCCTATCGTTCCCCTACCTATAATTAGAGGATCTCACTCCTACATTAGGTATCAAATTCTATCTGGAACTCCTTATTAAGGTCGAACTTAAACTGACTTGAGCGTCGAAATATTTGCTCGTCTTATGTAGGTAATTCATTGATTGAATGCTCAAGCTATTCCACTTGTCATACCTCGACAAAATTTGACCTTACCCTATTTACTGCATAAACATCTCTAAATTTTGCTACCTCCCGATCATTTTTCTTTTAGAGTGTAATCAATATTTTCTATAGTACCTAATAAATTATATTTAATACACCGATTCATTTGTATAATATTTTTTTCAAACAAGAATTTTACATATATTAAATATTTATTCTAATAAAAATTCTAATTGAATATGACTAAAAAGTAATTCTAATTTTTTTGGGTACAACGTTTTAGAGGTGGGGTTCGAACTTTAATGGAATATTTTATTGCTAGGTAACCCATATATGATATGTTATTTCAATTTCCAAACCTTACCCCTTCACAGGAATATAATTTTTGGATGCACCATTGGAGGTATGTGCTAAATATTATAAACGCTGTATTTTAGAAAAACTTAAATTTTGGTAATTTATGATTGTTTAAAAGATGAATAGAAATTAAAAATCCCTATAGGCCAGGT